ACATGGAAGAGAGATTAAAGAGAAAAGAAAAGAAGGGGGGGGGCAGTTTGATAGTTGAGGTGGTTAGTCTTTCTCCTTGAACTTGTTGAACTTGGATCTTGACTTTATGTAGATTACCTTCATTCACAAGTACGCAAAACGAAAAGAGTGAACAAAGAGACCAATCTTAAATGAGTGTCCTTTTTTCCTCGAACTCTCTGTTTCAACCATCCAGCCCCATCTGTTGCCGTTCCCTGAGTAGGACATTAAAATAAATAATTAATGCAAATTTATTTCAATTCTTTAATTACGATTGCTCTATATTTAAGCATATTTATTTTAGCCGGTTCCACTCTGCATGTGCAAGTTACCGATAAATCTAAAACACGAACTATAGATAACTTCAGTTTAACACCACGCTGGAACTTCTTTGGTTCATACGATTCACTTTAAGTACATGTCATTTGTTAGGGTGTTAAATTTTGATGGCTCATTTTATGAAATCAGTAAACCAGAAAATCATTTCCTCGCGTCAGCGTCCAATGTGTTCAAGACATAATATTTTCCTGTCTAGCGATGAAAAAAAATGAAACATCGATGTTTTTATCTCCAACTCGACATATTTTCAGCTTGAATCGAAAGCTATGTATCTATATAAAGTCTCATTTGTATCTTTTTAAAACTGCCGCCTTAATTTTTTTTAAAAAGGGCTTTTTTTTCGAAATGCATGCCATAAAAGTATTGTTGGATTTTGCGTGGAGCGTACTTCTCTTAACAGTATTTTGGACTTCTTACTCAACATTAATATGCAGCCACCCGTTTGGTAATTTCGAACGATTTATTTATTACCGATCGAGGTAGAAGGATTATATAGTCGCCTTTACCGTCCACAAAATGCAAATTCGACTTCGAGACCCGGTTGTTTTCATAGTAGTAGGATGCTGTGCTTGCCCATCTCTTCATTGCCAGCCTGATTGATAATTTAAGATTCGTAATTTTTCTCAGTCGTTTTCTTCTTTTTTTTCTATTTCGTTAACTTCAACTTTCTTGTAGCTCGTGATATAAAAGTCCAATTGTCTTAAGGATATATTTTTACTTTCTTCATCTTGTCTATTATCTTAATAGCTCTCAGAATTTAAGAAAGGGGATACGGCTTAAATGTACGGAACAGACGTAAACACGTATGCGTGTTCGTTCAAACTCAACGAGAAAGAGAGAAGGGAAGGAGGAGGGG